GTCACCTAGGTTGACATTGACCACTAGGTCTTGGATGGGCATGTTGGTCATGGTGGGCTGGGGCTGGGGGGAGGGGGGGAGGGGGGAGGTAGAGGAGAGGGTGAAGGGGAGGAGGAGGCATTGGTCAGGCCAACATGATGGCCATCGTTTCGTTCCATCGAGTACATACCTTCAATCGATGGTTTGTTCCACCAATCGTTCATTCGTTCGTTCGCTTCGTTCATGTCATCGCTCATTCGTTCTTTCGCTTCGTTCATGTCATCGTTCATTCGTTCGTTCGCTTCGTTCGTGTCATCGCTCACCCGTTCGTTCGTTCGTTCCGCTCTCCAATGGTACGGTACGACTCCCTGCTCCCCGTTCTCCACCCGACTTTCCATCAGACCTGGAAAACCGACTCACCGTCACCGTCAACCCCCGCCACACACCCTCCCGCCACATACTTTGCCGGGAGCGAACCAAGAACAAGCCTAACATATGCAGAAGCACGCACTCCACACCTCTAGTCCGTACCCTCTCCCCCCGTCATTGCCGTCCCTCAAGGAGCTGAGTTCTTCGTGAGGCCGCGTCGAAAGGTTCGAATCGAAGGTTCGAATTCTGTCCCCATTACCCCCCCCCCCCCCCCCAATAGACCATCAACATGCCTGGTGGTGGCGCGCCTCGTGGTGCGCAAAGTACTGGTGCAACCAAGAGTGGCAGCAAGAAGAAGATCTCGCCGTTCCTGACCAAGGCCTTTGAGCTGGTCTCTGATCCGGAGACGGACGCGCTGATCCGATGGAAGCAGGACGGACGGTCGTTTGAGATTGTGGGCGACGACGAGCTGGCGGCGGAGATTCTGCCGCGGTTCTTCAAGCATGGGAGAATTGCGTCGATGCATCGGCAGTTCAACCTGTACGGCTTCCGCAAAGTCCGCTTTGGCGATCCGTCGGACATGTCCTTCTACCACAAGTGCTTCATCCGTGACCGGCCTGACCTCCTTGCCAACATTGTCCGCAACCGCAAGCCCGCTGGCGCAGACGTTGAGGTCCGTGCCCTCGCGCTTCAGTCCGAAGTCGAATCGCTCAAGCGCAAGCGGTCCGAAATGGAGTCGGAGCTGACCCTGCTCGCCTCCGGTCACACCGAGCTCCAGTCGCGCCTTGATGCGGCTGAGGAGACCGTCGTTGCCCTCCGCTCAGAGCTGGCCGATACCCAACAGACGACTCTGGCCATGCACGAGACTGTCAGTGCCCTTATCGCAGCGCTGAGTGCAGACCAGGCTGGGCCCACTGCCGCCGCTGCCGCCGCTGCCGCCGCCGCTGCCTCGGCCGCCGCCGCCGCCACCGCCGCCGCTCCGCTGGCGGCAGCGAGCCTACCCAGCGCGCAGCGTGCTCGCAGCGAGCGGTCGTCGAGCTCAGCTTCGGCATCGCCGGCAGGATCGCGTCCGCCGTCGGCGCGGGCGTCGCGGGCCAGCTCGCGGTCGCGGCCGCGGGTGGTTGTGCCGCAGCGCGGCGGAGGCGGAAACGGAGCCGAGGCCAGCCAGCCCCGCACTCATGGAAGTGCAGCACCCCCTCTTGCCGCGGCGATGCCAGCGGCGTCGGAAGGACCGCTCCCGCCGCCGCCGCCGGGCGACGCCTCGTTCTACTCGCTCCTCTCGCCGACCTCGATACAGGCGCTGCTGGCGACGCCAGCGGCGTCGTCGTCGCTGCACACGCTGCTGCACTCCCCGCTGGCGGCGCTGCCGGGCTTCAAGAAGCTCAAGAACCTCAACTCGGAGGCGCGGGCGGCGTACTCGTCGACAACGCTCGCCGATCTGCTCTCGCCGCGCCCGCCGCCCATGCCGCTGCCATCAGGATCGTCTGCATCGTCTGCTGCGCCTGCCGCTTCGTCCGCGGCCGAGCGCGCCAGCCTCGCCCTCCCTCTGGACACCCCGCCGTCGCTGCGACACTTTCTCTCGTCGATTGTCCCGGACATCTTTGCCTCCCACCCTTGATAAAGTACCCCGCACTCTTTTAGGATCTGTTGGCGCCGAGCATGTGCCGTCTCGGTGCTGTGCGGCTGCCATCGATGGCGGCTCGCGGTGAGCTCCCTGTGAGCTCACCGTTGGCCATTCAATGCGGCGGTCGTTTACTCCTGGTCGGTAAAGAGGCCCTTGAGCTCAGCGGCATCTTGCTGGAGCTCCTGGAGACAAAAGGCGACAGTGCCGTCAAAGGCGGCGGAGAGCATGTCGTAGGCCGAGTCGGCCGAGTCGATGGCGTCGAGCACCGATTGCGGAAGAGCCGGGCGGGACTCAAAGTAGGTGCGGAGCTGGGTGAGCTCGGGCGCAAAGTGCTCGTTGATGACATCGATGTCGTCCTCAGTGAACGAGGCGGTAATGGCCTGCATGAGACGGAGGACAGCGCCGAGCTGGTTGGGCAGCCACTGGGTGATCGGAGTGCCGCCGGTCGCCACCGGGTTGCGAGTGTGCTTGATGATAAAGGCCTTGGTGTGGCGCCAGTGCTCCATGCGGAAGCGGCGGATGAGCGAGACGTTGAGAAGCCAGAGGAACTTGGCGACTGGATCGCGGGCGAGCACGCCGCCGACCACCGAGGTGTCGCGACCGTCGGCATCCGTCGACGCTTGGCACTCGACAATGTTGTGGCGGACGACGGCATCGCCCAGCAGCCGCAGATAATCGCGCTGCAGCAGCGGCCGGTACGAGCGCAGCTCCGAGAGGTACTTGGTCAGGTTGTTCTCCGGGTACATAAAGACAACGCCAAAGAGCGTGTCGGCGCCCGGAATGATCGACGAGTTGGCGCCCGACTCGCCGCGCGGCTTGAGGAACTGCCGGCCCTCCTCAAACTCGTACGCAAGTCCCTCGGCCGGGAACATCTTGTTTGGCCCGCAGTTGCCCTCCACGCCGTAGATGAACGTCCGCAGGTCAAGGTACGCTGCTGGCTTGGAGCGCTTCCACATGGTGTGCTGGATCTCGCAAATGCGCTTCATGCCCTCGGCGTGCATGTGCAGCGCCGACCGGAGAGCGTGCAGCGAGCTCTCGCTCGCCGCGCCGTCCGCGCCGATCGTCAGCTGCTCCGCACTCTCGATAATGACCCGCGCGGCGGCAATGAGCTGCGAGGTGTAAGCCTCGAGCTGGACGTGGACGACGGCAAAGCCACGCTCGTCCTCGGTCCCGGTGTTCGGCCGCACAATGTCGAGGTTGTCGTACTCAAACATGCCGGCCTCGGTCAGCGCCGCATAGTTGAGCGAACCGTCGGAAAAACAAAGTGCGGGACTGCCGTGGTCTCGAGTGTGTCCTGGACAAAGCGCCAGTTGTTGAGGCCCCATCCGCACGAGTACTCGACAAACGGCTTGAGCCCGATGGCGTCGGCAATGACCTTGAGCGGCTGCGCGATCTGCGGCGGGACGACCGACCGCGCAAACCCGTACGCGTTCTCAGTCTTCTGCCCACGGATGCTGGGAATGCGATAGTGGAACTGGTAGTACCAGTGCGCCGGCTCAAAGATGTACGCCGAGAGCAGGAACGAGTAGTCGCGGAAGAGCGCCATGATGAGCGGCGACTGCCCACGCTCGGCGTGCGCCACCACATCACGTGCAGCCTGCACCAAGTTCGGCAGCGCTGCAACCTCGCCGTAGAGCGGGAGCTGAGCATCGACTCGGTCGCCGCGGTAGAGCGCCTCGAATCGCGCGGCAACGTCGGGAATGAGCCCATGGTACACGCTCCGCTTCTTCTCCTGCACCTCGAGCAGCGCCGCAGACAGCGCCTCGGCGGTCTCGGTCTCGGTCGCCGCCTCAAGCTCCTTGATCAGTGACCGCTCTTCCGAGCAGATCTGCTTCAATTCCGCCGCTGCCGCAGAACCTGCAGGCGGCTCCACCCGATCGCCCACAAACAACAGGCCCTTGTCCTCCGACACTAGTTCCTGGCCCGGCCGCGGGTTCTCGGCACGCAGCTTCGCCGGCATCCGCCGCAGCAGCGAGTCGAGCGGGCCAAACGGCTCAGGCAGCGTGGTCAGCGGATGATGTGTCGGCATGTATCCGTTCGTCGCCCGCAGTTCAAACAGTGACGACGCCTTGGCTCGCGGATCGTCCGACACATACGTCGACGCCAGTTTGTTCCATCTGATGTTGACAGGCCCCTCGTGGCCAAACGCAAAGGCCTCGGTCGGGCGCGTCTTCATGTCAGCAGCCATGGTCAAAGGTGTGGTTCAGTGAGACTGTCGTCGTCCAGCAGCCACACACGCACCATAGAAAGACAACGCGATCCGATGCAACGTCAAGGGCATCGCCAGTCGCAGGCAAAGCAGCCGTGCCAATGAGCGATATCCATCAAAGATGTTCATGTGAGGGTAATCACCGAGACGTAACGTTGAGTCACCATGACGCCAATTATCGTCGCCAAGAGTAGGGAAGACGAGGAAAGCACGCCCGCCATAATTGCAAAGGTAAGTGAGGGACACGCCAGCAAATCATCCATTTCCAGCCACCACCACACCCATCCTTGCAAGGGCCACGAGATGGTGACAGATGCCGTTCGCCCGCTGACCGGCCATGCCACGCCACGTGGTCGACGTCGATGCACACACGTCAAAATGAATACGATTTTGACCACGCAACAACAAAAATCAAAGCACGTAGAATAACCGAAGAAGGGGATGGGGGGGGGGAGGTTCGTGACCTTCCTGAAGGATGGCAAGTGGCCACGGCTGCAAGTCGCATAAGATGAGATGAATCCATCAAAATTGGAGAACATATTGCTAAGTATATGTGATTGTAGCTTGCTTATTTTGGGGGGGATAGCTTACTTACCTCGTCGGTTTGAGATGGGTGTGTGGTGTGTCGCTATGTGGCGGTGTGGGTGGCCGTGCTGCGTTGTTTCTCGAGTTGACCGCGTGGCTCTGTTTTTATGAAAGTCAATTGGCTCTCACACAACGAGGCAACAAGCTCACGACGAACCTTCTATGGTAACACCACATTCCCATGTCGTCCATCTTGGCACCTTTGATTGCCCATGACATGCTTGCCCATGACATGCTTGCAGCGTGTTGCTGATCGCTATGTGGCGAAAACTCTCGTTGCTGCGTGCCTGCCCACGCTGTGCCCGCCCGGGGGCCCCGAAGCTTGTGGAGTCACGAGCCGGCTTGCAGCAAGCGCGTTTCGGCGTCACCTTCCCAGTCAACACGGCGTGGTCAACTTACTGACCTCCTCCTCCTCGCGGTGAACACGCCGTCCGGTGACGGGTGCACAGCCGCTCACGTGCCTCCTTTTGTCTGCCACCGTGGCAAGGAACGTTGCTAGCGGGGCTCTTCACGTGGCCCCGGTGTGACGACTCCTCCCGACCCGGCCTTGACCCCGCCCTTGCGCCACAGCTCAACTCCGCCCAGACGCGTGCTCATCAGCGCGACCCTGTCCTCACCCACTCCACGCACCCTCGCCTCCGCCTTGGCTGAGGTTTGGAGATGGTATTCCGTTGGGTAGGGGGGAGGGGAGGGGGACTGGCCGCGGTACTGACTGTATCCTTGTGGCTTGCTTTGGTGCCGCAGGAAAGGCCGGCGCCGCCCAAGCTGCGTCAGCAAGACACCACCAGGACTCACTCATGCAAGCCTCAAGGCAGACTCAGGCATGCCACCTGATTCTCGCTCGGAACAAGCCCTCTATCGCGTGCAATGGCATGGCTAAGGCGCCGAAGCAGACTCGCTAGTTGCACATTTTTCAAGCAGACGACGCCCTTGCCGTCGGCATGCCTACAGCCCGCACAACCAGGTCCACAGCATGTGATCCCACCCACACACCCACCCCACCGGAGCAGCAGCGCAGTACATACATTAAGTATGCCAGGATCTTTCCGCTCAGACATGCACGCTGCGAGTGACCACTCCCTCCGTAAGCAGCTTCCGGCGTCAAGCCGGCGAGCAACCAAATCTATCCACATATTCGGGCTTCATTCCCCTCTCTAGATACCGCCATAGAGAACAAGCACACATACCCCTTCACCTTCCAACACTCAAACACAGTATCTCTGACCTCTGGCCATTGCCTGGCTGCCTGGCTCGAGCAGCAACGGTCGTGTCCCATAGCTATCCGGCAGCCGCCATGCGAGTTTTTTTTCGCTCGCGCTTTGCAAAAAAAGATACGGTCCGACGCCACTCCACTCACCACCACAACTCCCGCACCTCGCCAAGTCAAGTCAAGAGCAAGTATGCGAACAAGTGTGGCGCCACTATTGCACCCTGTGGTACTTGTGGCAATACTCTTACCGTTCCCGACTTTTTGCTCTCTTCTGGTGGCTACACAGTCCGCCCGAGGCCTTGTCAGCACCGATGGAGGTTGGCTCGCGGTGGAAGGCGGCGGTTCGGCGAACAACGGCGGCGCTGGCACTTTCTGGACGTTGTCAACTTTGATCATTCCCTCGCCGACGAATCATGTGCTGTACTCTGGACATGTGAGGGATGGTGAAATGACCACTGCTATCGTTGCTGGCTCATCGGGCGTGCCAGGCTCGACGGATGGCGTCGGCGCGGCGGCACGGTTCTCGTCGCCGGCGGCGGCAGCTGCCCTCGGATCAGGCGCGGGCTTTGTCTACGTGTCGGAGATCGGTGCCTCGGCCCACCGCATCCGCAAACTCGATCCCGGGGCAAACTGGGCCGTCTCTATCTTTTGCGGTGTGGGGGCGGTCGGCTCGGCTGATGGCGCGTGCGCCTCGGCATCCTTCTCGTCGCCGGTTCATCTGGCTGTTGATGACACGACGCTGTACGTGGCGGATCGTGGCAACCATGTTGTGCGTCGAGTTGACCTCGCTGCGGCAACTGTGTCAACTCTTGCAGGCACAGCAGGTGCCGCCGGGCGCATTGATGCCACTGGTGCCGCTGCTCGGTTCGACTCGCCCCGGGCGCTAGCGCTCTCGAGCGATGGCGCGACATTGTATGTCGCCGACACGAGCACCATCCGCTCTGTCGCCGTGGCCACCGGCAAAGTGATCAACATCGCAGGCGGTGCCAGCGTCTTTGATCCAGTTGATGCTCTCGGTGCCGCCGCACGGCTGCAGCCGCGGTCGCTGACGCTCTCGGTTGACGGTACGTCGCTGATCTTTGTTCAGGCGTGCGTGGCCAACTCGGTCATCCGCAAAGTCACCCTGGCGTCCGGCGAGGTGAGTCGTGTGATCGGCGACTACTCGACCGCGCAGTGCCGCGCCCCAGCCCCACCTCCGCCGCCATCGCCGCCGCCATCGCCGCCTCCGCTACCGCCGCCATCGCCTCCGCCGCCGTCGCCGCCTCCGCCAGCGCCTCCGCCGCCGTCGCCGCCTCCGCCATCGCCGCCTCCGCCGCTTGATGTAGACGGGGGGTGGATTCCGGTGGCTGAGCGGAGCGCAGCGCCCGCCCTGGGCACCGCTGTGGAGCCGCTCACCACGCTAGCTGCCATCTCGTTCTGTGGAACGGTGTACGCGCCTGCGACGCCAGTCTCGAGCATGGTCGCCTCGGTTTCGCTCTGCGACACCGGATCGCTGGTGACCGATTCGGTCGTCGCTGACCTTGTCGTCAACGGGACGCAGGGCCTCACCATCGGTGTTCCGATGACAGTGACTGGTGGAGCACAGGTCGGGGTTGGGGCAACGGTCACGGTCCCGTCCTCGCTCACCATCGCCAACACGTTGACCGTTGTCGGCACGCTGAGCGTGTCGGGTGCCGGTCGAGTCACCGCAAGCTCCATCGTTTTGGGTCCATCAAGCACGCTCTCGATTATGCTCCCAATTGACCCGGCAAACGTGGCGCAGTCTTACGTGACGGCAACAACGTCTGTGACCCTCGAGCGTCCGCTTCTCATCATCCGGCTCCCGGTCAACGGGCTGCTCGACGCTGGGACACAGATCACCATCTTGACCGCCGGAAACGTCATAGGACAGTTTAGCGCGGCACGTCTAGTCGGCCCCGCGACCCGGGCGGCATCCGGCTCAGCCACCGGCGTCTCGGTGTCCTGCGACGCTAAGAGTTGCGTCGTGACCGCGACGGCAGAGACTGCTTCGTCGCCATCATCCTCTTTCGCACGCAGCACATTGCTCATCACCGTCTCGGCTGTGGCAATTATCCTCGTCCTCACGTCAGTCGGCGCGATCGTCTTTGCCGCCACTAGGCGGGGGCGGGCTCAGTCAATTGCGTCCTCGCTGGAGGAGGACGCGATGGGCAAGTCGAACGAGTCGGACAAGATCTACAGAAAGCATGCAAGCACTTCGGACTCAACCCGAGCCGCTACTCGCTCCTCAACTTTATCACCATCGTCATCATCGTCATCATCGTAGTCAATGATGTACAGCTGCACGTAGGCCACGGGGAAACGAGTCCACACAAACTACCCTTCCCCCCCTCCCTCTCCTCCTCCTCCTCCTCGCATGCCAATCCGCCCGCTAATACCCAGCAGAGTTTGAATGCCAACCAATCGATCCCCATCCAGCATGTGCCAATTCATGTCATCACCGCCCATCACAACTGAGCATCTGTCTGACTCGCAGAGGCAGGTGATGGTGAGGTGCGCGCGGCGAGTCGGACGAGTGCAGCGAGTCGGACGAGTGCGGCGAGTCGGACGAGTGCGGCGAGTCACACGAGACAGTCAACTCAATCCGACGAGGTGTTTGGAGGGAATATGGGAAAGGCAGAGAGAGTTGGTGGGAGCACTCGTGAGCGCAAGGGCAGGAACGGGTTATGGGTACAGTTGGGACTTGCAGGTGGGATTGTGGCGTCGTACGTGGGCTATGTGCAGGCACTCAAGCATGTCTCGACCGGACTCGATTACAAGCAACCATTTCTTCAATCATTCATCAATGCCATCCTCAATGCTCTCGCTGCTCCCCTTGTCTACCTCATCTGGCCATGCCTCTCCACGGGCAAGTCCATTGCTGCCCCTGATCCGCTTCCATCCCCTCGCCATATGATCCGCTTCCATCTCCTCGCCATATGATTGCGTCACGCATGGGTGGTCAACGTCGCCATCACCTTGCGGATGATCACCTTGCGGATGATCACCTTGCGGATGATCGTGCTCGTGCTCGTGATCGTGATTGTGATCGTGGTCGACTTGGTCAAGGCGAGGCAGCGCCGCTGCTGACCGCAGCGGACCAGCGAGTCGTAGGTGGGGCGGATGGTGGAGAGATGTCGCTGTGGGAGAACTTGAAAGCTACGCTGGCGGCTCGGAAGATGAGCATGGCCAAGCTGGCGGGTGTCTCGGGTGGGGTTGCGGCGCTGTTTGCCCTCTCCAACGCTGCTTCGTTTGCAGGCCTGGCGCTGACCTCGCCTGGATCGGCCATCACCTTTGTCTCGTCGTCTGCTGTCTTTGTCTACGGCCTCTCGTGGCTGCTGTTGGGCGAGTCGGCGACGTGGGGCAAGTCGCTGGCAGTGGTCCTCTGCCTCGGCGGAACAGCCATGACTGCAATGGCGGAGCACGACTCGTCGCACGCCCCCAATCCTGTTGCCGGTGATATCATCTGTGCCTTTGCCGGCCTTCTCCTTGCGTTGGGTCTTGTCTTTTTCAACATGACTCTTCGCGGCGCCAACATCTCGTACCTCACTGGCTACGTCACTCTCATGGGCCTCATGGCCTTTGTCCTCGCGCCTGGCTTCCTCATCCAGCAGTACGGCCAGAAGCATCCTGTCGAGCTTCCGCCGAGTGGCCAGGTCTGGCTGTGGACGCTCATTGCGCAGCTCCTGCTCAAGGCGCTCAACGTCTTTGTCTTTGTCGCCCTCCTCGTTTCGTCACCGCTCTTTGTGGCCATCGCCAACATGCTCTGCGTCCCCACCACCGTCCTCGTCGACTACATCCACGGCTGGATTGAGCCTTCTGCTGCCGTCCACTCTTCGCCGGTCCGTCTGGCCGGCATTGCCGTCGTCATCCTCGGCTTCTCGGTCCTCGAGACGCTCCGCCACCGCGACACCCCTCCGCCCGAGGCTGACCACGAGCTCGACCCCGCTGCGCCGGCGGTCCAGTAAACCTCACGCGCACTGCTTTAATGTGGGGATGCAAAGCAGCCCAACGGACTCGTAGTCCTTGCTCGGCCGCAGATGCTGGTACCGCTGCATGGCAGTCGGCCCTTGCGCATCTGGGCGTCATCGCCATCCGAAACGACCTTGCCCGCACCCCACCCCATTCCCCCTGGGTCCACATCGCGCGCTTTCATGTCCTGTGCCGCATCCCCTGCCTAGCAGATGTATCCACGCCTGTCGCCGCAGCCACCCGTGGTTCAGCAGAGGCCTCGTCGCCATCGCCATCGCCATCGCCATCGACAGCGCTTCGAACGCGATCGGCGGCAGTGCGGGCAGCACGGATGCGACGACGTCGCTCACGACGGAGACGCTTCCGACGACGGAGCTCTGGCCCGAGGAAGCAAAACCACAGCATGGACCAGACAATAATTGCCAGAGTAACAATGGGCAGACCGATGATGGCCATGTCCATGGCAATGACCTTGGCCACCACCCAATTGTCCGAGCCTCACGGAGCGACGGCCACAGGTATCCATCCGCCGCCAACCCACTCAAACGACACGTCGTCAAACATAGCCCCTCTCTTTGTCCTTCTCCTGTCCGCGCCTCCTCCGACTCTTCTTCTACAGTCGCGTGTCGCCTCTCGCGACTTGGACTTGTGCTCGTAGCTTGTGTCCCTGCCCAGGGCCAGTGAGTCGGGTCGGGGTCATGCCAGTTGGTCGAGTTTCGCGGGAGAGGAGGTCGGGCGGGGGCACGGGCCGGGCTGGGCCAAGGGCCGGGTTTGGCTGATGCTGATCATGATACAGTTTATCTCTTTGCCAGCTACACACGGACCACGTAGCGGGTGGCGGTGCCGACCTTGCGTGAAGCAACGGCGCGGACATTGACGAGGATGAGGACGATGGCCTTCATCTGCGACCGCTGAAGCCCGAGCTCCAGGAGCTCGTCCTGGGTGAAGAACGGCTCGTCACCGGCCTCAAACTTGTCTGCGAGCAGCTGGTTAATCTCCTCGAGCGTCGAGTTGACGCACTTGAGCGAGACCTGCACCCGGAGGTATGCCGGGATAGCAGAGTCGTCCTCGAGCGGCGTGAGCACATCAAGGCCCTCGGGGTACACCCGCTTGGTCTCAGACATCGACAGCCGGTCAAACATCGGCGTCTTGGCTTCCAGCGCCGCGCACCGCTGAAGCAGCGGCGTCTTGGGCGCCAGTGCCGCTGCCGGCTCGGCCGCCGGCTCAGCGGCGCCGGCGCCCGCAGCTGCCGTCGGCCGGGCAGGCGTCTTGGCCTCGTCGTAGCCTCCGGTTGCAGCCAAGCTCGACGGCATGGCCATCGGTTCGGGAGATTCGAGCATGTCCCACTCGTTCTCAGTTGGGGCAGGCTTTGCCTGTGTGGGTGCAGGGACGCGCGGCTCTGCCTGCGTGGCCGCAGCGACGCGCGGCGCTACAGGCGTCGCGACTGTCGCTGCCACTGGCTTGGTCTGAACCACGGGCTCAACTGTCCGCTGGGCCGCAGGCCGCGGCTGATACTCAAGCTGAGATGGTGGTGCGTTTTGCGAGAGCGAGAGTGCTGCCATTGATGCCGCAGAGAGGCCAAAGTCTTCGAGGGTCGGCGTGGCGAGTCCGCTCTCGGCCATCAGCGCGGCTGCCCGTGGCGCCTTCTTCCCGGGCGTGCGGAAGGCCGATCCCGGGCTTCCCATCGCAGCAACCGGGGCCCTCATTGCCGTATTGGTCGTCAGTGGAGTGTGGGTTGGCAAAGAGCTGACAACCGGCTCGTCGAGGCCGGCGGCGGCGGACTTGTCGGCGACAGGCGACCAGCCGGTCGGCTCGTCGTCCAGCTCGTGCATGCCCATGCCATAGCCCACACCGTCGCCAGCAGTGTCCGTACCGACATCACCAAACTTGCCAGACGCAGTCTCGTCCCCACCTGCCAGAGCCGCCAGCTGCGCCGCGTTGGCGGCCATCAGCGCCCGCACCGCCGCCACCACATCGGCCACCGACGGCGCGTCTTCCAGCGAGCCCGCGAGCGAGGCACACGCCTCCTGGACCTTGCCCACCCGAGCAGTCACTTCATTCTTAGTCTCTTGAGCACGCGAGCCTGTTGTTCCCCACCCGCATCGCCGCCCCAACATGCTCGTCGTCGTAAGTCGCCCGCCATGGCTAGCAGGTGCTCTGGTGGCGCGCGTTGCCAAAGGAACACAAAATTTGAAATTTACGGAAAGAGCGAGGGAGAAGGGGGGGGGGGGATGGGCATGGGGAGTGGGAATGGAAGCTTACCATCATCTGCAGAGAGTGGAGGCATGTCTACAACTGAGCGCATTTGCTCTGCCGTGGCTCGCATGCCACCAAAGTCTGCGGCCAGTGCGTGGTGAAAGGCGTCAAGGCATGCCGCCACATCGGTTGCCATGATTAATGAGTCGAGTGCTGCTGATGATGAGGTGTACTAATATGAACAAGAGTTAATCGTTGGTCAGAGGAGTTGGTTGACAAAGACATACTGTGGTGCAGTAGATGATGGTACATGGGTGTGTGCTGCCGTCGATGCCCTCTGCACGACTCTGCAAAGCGCGGCCGCGTACATCAGCTTCCTGCCCTCATCAGCGCTCAGGCTGGAGTACATGATCATGGGTGATGGCGATACGTTTCTCGGTTCTGTCGGCAAAGCGCATCTTCGTCGACCAAGCGCCCCGCTTGCGCTCACTGTGCTTCAGCGTGCAGTGAGTGATAGCGTTGGCGACGGCGACAAGAGCCAGCGCACGATCACGGCCTCTCCATCCTTCGCCACTACTCCTCACCCTCGTCACCAGTCTCCACCACCCAGATCCCCCACCAATTCCACCACCCTTTGGCCAACGCTCGACTCACTCAAACTCTTCCGCTACGCCACACGGTTACACCCCTGCCCCCTCCTCTCCCACCCTCGCTAGTACTCATCAGCCTCGTACACTCGCTTATCACTGCTCCCATCTCCAGGACATTCCTCGTCGTTACCAACTGGTTGTGCAGCACGTGGAGCGGAGAGCGGAAAGAGATTTTTTTTCTGTCATACCAATTAACGAACGTTTGTTACGCGACTTTCTCGAGCGAACAACGATTGGCACGGCTCACCCCCGACTTTCCAAGCCTGTACTTGACGTGGTGTATGAGTATGGTGTTGGTAGAGAAGGCAAGGAGAACATGGGTAATGAGTTTGCATGTAACACTTGGCCTTGTTCTCCTTCTCTCCTTCATATCCTCTGTAACCTCCGTAAGCGCACCCATAATGGAACATGGGCTGACGTCGTCGTGTGGCCAACTTGCTGGATGCTTGTCTTGCAAAGCTAGTTTCGAGTCGACGAGCTCGAGCTCGGGATGGGCAGCTTGTGACTGGAATTCGACATCAAATACATGTGCCTCATACTCTGGTCTTCGACATGGTCTGTCTGATACTATGTCAACTTGGCCTGCTTCGTCTCTTTGCTCAGATGCTCCCTCGCTCGCTTCGCTCTGCTCGCCGCTAATTGACTCGCTCTCCTATTGCCAAGCTGTCGTCGGCACATGGCATGGCGCCATCACTGCTCGGTCGGTCTGGGTCAATCTCTTCCATCCACCCATCGCTGAGGACACTTCGCCGTCTGCATCTACTGCCGCTCCCTGCCCAGCAGAAGCTGCAGAGGCTGTCTGGTCCCAATTTGATCTCCACGTCGCAGCGGGCGTCTTTCACCTTCAATCAGCGGCCCAGCCGCAGCTCACCACGACGGCCCAGATTTGCGACTATGTGCCCGAGACCGGCCATGCTTCGCTCTGCCGTGTCGTCCCAGGTGTCGGTCCGGCTCCGGTCCCGGCTTCACCTGGATGCGCGTGTGCTGCGGATGAGCTCGGGTGCGTGATCTTCAAGCTGGCGCCGAATGGCTCCCGAGCTGTCATTGCTGGCAATGTCACTGTCCGCGCCCGCCGTGGTGTTTCGTTTGTTGGCCTTGACGCTGCCTGTCCGGCCATCGACGATCTCGATCCGCTCAGCCCTCCCGCCGTCGCCTGCTCAGCCGACGGTTTTTTGGCTTCGGGCTTGCTGCTTGGCACAGCAAGCCGGACTTCAACATCGGTCCCGTCGCCTCCACCGCCGCCGCCGCCGCGCTCGCCCATCTTTGGCCTCTCTTCGGTTACTCTAGCCGCCGAGGTTGCGCTGATTGTGGGCGTGGTCGCCCTGCTCGTCGTCGTCGCCGTCATCGTCTGCATCCGCTGCAGGCAAACTGCGGCCGTCAGAGACGTGTCACTGGCGTACGCCGTCTCGACGGGCCGGCTCGAGCGCGCCATGGCGGTCACCCTCGACTCCAAGACCAACGCCGCAGACGACGGGCCAGTATGGCGCGACTTGCCCAACCGCTCCATTTCGGTCTCACTCGGTGGTGTTGATATCCTTCATACCCCGTTCGAGTCGGGCTTCGAGTCGGCTACCGAATTCTCCGACCACAGCCCGTCATCCAACACCACCATGCGCTCGCCGACCTTGCCTGTTACTCCGTCGTCGTCCCAGGCCGTCGCTGTTGCAGATGCCCTCGTCGGCAGCGCTGACAGGCAGGACTTGCTACAGCTGCCGCGGCAGGGAAGCGGTGGCAGGCCTGGTCGGCGCAGCTCACTCGGCTCGCGCGCCCACGTCCGCTCGGCATCCCAGAACGGCGCGTCATCGACATCACCTGCTCGTGGCGCCCGCCCTCGCCGCCGCATCGTCACCAACTCGAGCGCTGACTCGCGGGTGAAACGCAATCGAGCCGCTCTCACAGGCTCATCGTTCTCGTCGTCGTCGCTGGACGTGGCCAACGCTGCCAAGAGAGGCAAGCGATCCGTTCGTCGCGTCAGCAAGCAAGCTCCCCCCCCGCTCGAATCGCGGGTCGCCTTGGGCTCTCTGCCGCTCTCGGGCTCGCGCTCTCAAGGAGAGCTGCACCCGCCTGTGAAGACATCGCCCCCGCTCCGCTCCGCTCGCGCCTCGCTCGGTGCCGTTCCGCGAGTGGCCACTGGCTCGCCCTCGCCTCGCTTCCGCTCACGAGTCCCGTCACGGTCAAGGGTCTCTTCGACCTCGGCCTCGCTCTCACCCTCGCCGGCACCCACCTCGCTTGATTCGAAATGAATCCTCGAGCTTCACAGCTCCTCCACCGCCGCTGCCATCACGTCTAGCGTTGTTAGCAGCCTGCCGTGATCGACGTTCCACCTCCCACTCGCGCCGCCACCGTCACCGCCAGCCATCCATCCGTCCGCAGCAGGCTCGCCGCACAGTGCGGCCAGCCGCTGGACTTCCCCGCGCAGCATGTAGTTGGCTGACTCGAGGTCGAGGTTTCGCACTTTGAGCGCGTGGATCTCCTCGACTGCGTGTGCGTGCGAAACCTGGAGCACATGATGCGCTCGCGCCAGATCGGTCCCAAACTCGCGACTCTGGCGCGGCGGCACGCCATCACTTTGAGGAGCTGGGCTGATCCTAGCCCCTGGCTGCACCGGCTGGTCTGCACCTTGCCGCGCGGCAGCAGTGTAGCTGCGCGCTTGATACGAGTGCAGCAGCAGCTCATGCATTGACGCCAGCCGCATCCGCAGCAGTGCAACCTGCGCCTGCATGCCCGACATTGTTCCCGGGCACGGCGGCAGGTCTGCCATCAGTCGCCGCGCGTATGCTCGCTCCGTTGACGTCACTGCCACGCCTGCTGCCTCGACTGCTGCCTCCCACACCTCGCCGTCGGTCGGCAGCGGCGGGCATGGCGTCCAAACCGGCGTGCTGCTGCTGGCCCCCTCGCCGCCGCCATCACTCACCGCTGGCTGAGGTGCGTAGACAGCTGGTCCCGCATGTAGCACATCTGTGCAAAGCTGCGCAATCCGCGCCAGCTCGGCACGGGCCTCGGCATCGTCGCAGAGCGTCTGTAGCGCGATGGCCATCTTGCTTGCGGCCGCATCCTCACCATGCCACAGCTCGGGCCGTGTAGGCTCTGCCGCAGTCGCCCGCACCGCCTTTAGAAGCGCAGACCCAGCGGCCTTGACATTGCCAACGGCAGTCCGCAGCCGGATCCGGGCCCACGTCGTCGCGTCGTCAACCCCGGGCACTGGCGCAGGCAGCGCCGCTAGCTCGGCCCGCCGCTCGTCGCGCCATCGCTTAAACACATCTTTCATCCGTGCCACCTTTTCTGCCCGCTCCAAATCGCGCACAGGCACCCGCGCGCCCACAGCTTGATGAGCCGCTTGCAGCCGACTCTGGCTCGCGCCGTCGTCTGACCCAGCACTCGCCGAACGCGTTGTCGGTACCGGCGACGCTGTCGATAGCGTCAGCGAGTCAAACTCATTCTCGGTACCATCGCCACCTCGAGGCTGAGCCCGAGCCCGAGCCCGAGCCCGAGGCGGAGGCGTCGCCTCTGCACCAGACACCCGTCCGTGAAGTGAGTCTCGCTTGGGCGTCCTCACAGCCGCACCATCGCCAGCCGGACTACCGGCATCGTGCGAGGAGACAACAGCCAACGGATGAGCCGCCACCAGCAGACCGAGTGCAGAATATAGCAATTCCTCGCCGGTCGACAGCACCTCCTTGTCCGCCCTTTCCTGAGCCTCAGACAATGCATTCTCCTGTTCTGTCCCTTGCTCGGTGCCTGTAACTTGTGCACTGCTGCCCATGCCCGTCTCTGTCGCCGCAGCTGCGGTCGGGTGCTCAACCCCCACGCCACCATCGGCGCCAACATCATCATCGCCACCACCACCACCACCACCACCACCACCACCACCACCACTACCACTACTGGGAACATGATGAGCCAATTGAGCAGACGATGAGCTGGATGACGAATCTGATCCGCTCGATGAAGACGACATAATCGACTCGGAGCGAGATCAGAGTGGGGTGTCAGCTCAGCCTCGGCTTGCAGAGTGCCGACTGTTTACTGTTTGGCATCGGCCAGCCTGATCGGCCGAGCACACACCCCCTCCCCCCCACTCGCACGCAAACACACAAACACACAAACACACACACACACACACACATACATACATACATAAATACACAAACACACGCACACACAAACACACACACACACACTTTCTGTTTCCTCTCGCTCCATCTCTGCTCATACCCGCACAAACGACGTTTGACAGGCACGCGAATGACCAGAATCAGAACATGAATAATGCCACAATCGCGCCTGTGCCGCATTCCCCTCCCCGCACACCCAACATACAGGTAGTAGTTGGCAATATCTCAACAGTGTACAACACAGACGCACAGACTCACACAAACACACACTCTATTTCTTTTTCAACCCACCATAGCCTCACACCCTAAGGCTTCGCCCGATCCATCGCCTTGTGCAGGCATTTATTGGGGCGAGCACAAGCTCAACCGCACCGGGAAAAACAGAAGGATATCATCATTTTGTTCAGTGGTCAAAGTCGAATCGTGCCGCAAATCACATTCGGCCTCTTGTCAACCCGCCACACCACTCCTTCACTCCCACTCCCGCTCCGCCCCTCCTACCGCTACCTACCCCCTACCTCAACCCCCCAAACCCCCAAACCCCCTCTACACCTCCTTTCCTTCCCGTACATTCTCATGTCACACTCCTCGCTCTCGTCGCGGGGTGGACATGTTGGTGTCGGCTTTGTGCTGTTGTTGATCGTCATTTCTGTCGTGGCTGACAAACAAGCGCCTTCCGGAGAGCGGCTTTTTCTCTGCAATGTGGCGCAACCTTTTGATGCTGCCTTCAAGCTGCATCCCGACTCTGGTGTCATCAATAAGCAGTATGTGTTCAAGGGCAACAAGGTGTGGGTGTATGATGCGGAATATCGCTCGACCTCACTCGAAGGTACCATTGCATCAGTCTTCCCTGGCTTGCCCATCAACAACATTGATGCCGCTGTCTCTACCAACAGTGGAAACATGTTCTACGTCTTCAAGGGCGTCAATGTCTACTTGTTTGATATCGCTTCTGGTCTCAAATCGGGCTTCCCCAAGACCATCGCATCCGAGTTTTCCGGCGCTTTTCCAAACCATATCGACGCTGTCCAGCGGGGCGACTTGAACAAGATCTACGCGTACAAAGGAAGCCAAGTGTTTGCCTACCACGAGCTCACCGGTCAGCTAGGCGGCTTTCCCAAGGCTCACAACTTGGGATTCTCCCCCGACGCTGCCATTCAGTCGCCGTTTCAGCGGCTCTCCATCAGTGTTGATACGTACTACTTTGTCGGCAACATGACACACCTGGTCGAGAGCAATGTTGAGGTGCCCACGTCGCCGTTTCCCATCTGCTCATCATGCAGCGGGACCAAGGTCATCAACTCGGGCACAAGCGGTGATATCGCACCGTTTGTCGACTTGATCTACACCAACCTTCAAACCTGCAAGTGGGTGCTTGACTTTGGCATCCCTGGCTACCTCACAGTTGACTTTATCAACTTGGAAACCGAGCAGGACGTTGACGTTGTCACCCTCTACGACGGGCCGAGTACCGCCAGTGACGTTCTGAGCGTACTTTCGGGCTCGCTCATGTTCTCAACGACGTTCACAACGTCGACTGAAAAAGCCCTTGTTGAGTTTACATCCGATGGGTCTACCGTGGCCTCTGGCTTTGACATCTCCTACGAGTTCTACGCCGAGTGCCCAACGCTCTCTTCGCTCTCGTTTGGCTACTGGAGCCCGGCTGATTTCGGCTATCGTGGGCAGGAAGTGTCCGCAATCTGCTGCGAAGGCTACACCCTCACCGCGGGCTCTACAACACGAATCTGTACGCCATCAGGCACTTGGTCGGGCACCGACGGCCAGACGTGCACACCAAACCCGTGCAGTCCGGATCTGGTGGCACCGGCCAACGGATACGTGTCCGCAACGACCGGTAACACCGGAGACACCTCGAACTTTGGCTGCAACGCAGGTTACACGCTCGTGGGATCTCCGTCGCGAACCTGCCACCCGCAGGGCTTCTGGTCCAACTCAAACGACCAGTTCTGCGATCCGAACCCGTGCTCACCGCCGCAACTCGCGCCTACCAACGGGGTCGTCTCGTCGACATCTGGCAAGACCGGCGAGACCATCATCTTTTCGTGCAACTCAGGCTACACTCTGGGCGGATCGTCGAGTCGGACGTGCCAACCGTCGGGCACGTGGTCCAACCTCAACGATCAGGTGTGCACTGCCTCGTCGTGCTCGCCGCCGCTGACTCCGCCTGCCAACGGGCAGGTCTCGTGCACAACGGGCACCACCAACGACATCTGCTTCTACTCGTGCAACCAGGGGTACGACCTCTCCGGTTCGGCGTCGCGAACGTGCCAAGCAAACCAGGCGTGGACCGGCTCGGATCCGACGTGCAACCCGGCAGCTTGCTCACCCAATCTCTCGTCTCCCCTGTACGGATCGGTCTCGTCCGCGTCAGGCGTGACAGGCCAGACTTCGACGTTCTCTTGCAACGCCGGGTACACACTCTCGGGCGATGCGAGCCGGACTTGCCAGGCAACCGGCTCCTGGTCCAACGCCGACAACCAGGTATGCTCCCCGTTGCCATGTCCGGCGCTGAATGCCCCGACAAACGGAGCTGTCTCGATCACCTCGGGCTCGGTTGGCGATGTGGCGTCGTACTCGTGCAACGCCGGATACTTTTTGTCGGGCGAGACGTCGAGGACGTGCCAGGTGAACCAAGTGTGGAGCTCGATGGCACCAACCTGCGAACCACTGTCCTGCACCACTCTAGCTCCTCTCACCAACGGCTACGCACTGCCGGGCTACTCGGGCCGTGTCGGCGACACCATCGCTTTTGGCTGCAACGCCGGCTACACCTTTTCCGGCAGCTCCACGCGGACGTGCTCCCAGTCGCAGATCTGGTCGGGTGGCGACGACCAGAGCTGCAGCCTGACGCCCGACTACTGCCCAGCCCAGACCGCGCCAGTTGATGGCTCGCTCACGTCGCTGACTCGCACAGTCGGCGGAAGTGCCACCTTTTCGTGCGACTCTGGCTTCACGCTTGTCGGCTCGGCGAGCCGGACATGCCAGAGCGACGGCAGCTGGTCGGGTACACTTCCGATTTGCACTCAGTGCTCGGGCAATTGCGCAACGTGCGAGGCCGGGCAGCCGACAAACTGCAACTCGTGTATCGGCGGCTACACCATCGGTGACGAGTGTGTGTCCAAGGTCGACCCATGGTGCCCTCCGCTTGGTCCGCCAACAAACGGGTCGCTCTCGGCCGCACCTTGCGGCCGCAAGGTCGATGACACCTGCGGCGTTGCCTCCTGCAACGCTGGCTACTTCTTGGTCGGCCCGTCATCGCGAGTCTGCCAGTCATCGCAGGCGTGGTCGAACCTGGCGTGGTCGTGTGCCACCTGCGCGTCGCAATGCGCGACGTGCGACGGTACTGCCGGCAACTGCCTGACCTGCGCTCCCGGCCTGGTCGATCCCCCGAGTTGCGCCACGCCTGTCACCTGTCCGAGCCTCTCGCCACCGGCAAACGGCGCACTCTCGACCTCGGTCAACACAAGTGGCACGACAGTGTCGGTCAGCTGCAGTGCAGGCTTCACCCTCTCGGGTTCGTCGACGCTGGAATGCGGGACCAGTGGCGTGTGGTCAGGCCCGGTCGACTACGTTTGCACCGGCCTGCCATGCACACCACCGCTCTCGCCGCCGAGCTTTGGGACGGTCTCGGCCGTCAACGGCACGACTGGAGAGGTCCGCAGCTATGCTTGCAACCAAGGCTACTCGCTCGTCGGCGACCCAACGCAGGCATGCCAGGCTGATGGTAGCTGGGGCGGCTCAGCTCCGAGCTGCAGCGCCAGCTCGTGCACCCCAACGCTCACTCCGCCGACCAACGGTGCAGTCTCGGCCACCACCGGTGTGACCGGCGACGCGGTGAGCTACTCTTGCAACGCGGGCTTCTCGATCGTCGGTGCTGCGACGGTGACCTGCCTCACGAACTCGAGCTGGTCGGCAGCCGCACCGTTGTGCGCGGCGAACCCATGCACGCCGGCCCTGGATCGGCCAGTCAACGGGAGTGTGTCGCAGGCCGAAGGTGTGACCGGTGACGTGGCCACCTTTGCCTGCAACACAGGCTACCTGCTGATCGGGCAAGCAAGCCGGCAATGCCAGACCGATGGTACATGGTCCGGCGCAGGCTCGCCGTTCTGCGACGTGCAGCAGTGCCCTCGGCTCTCGGTCATCCAGCCACCGCCGGCCAACGGCCTGCTCACCTGCGACGGGGCCTCGTTTGGATCGACTTGCACCATCATATGCAACACTGGGTACTCGCCATTCGGCACAACGAGCCGGACCTGCCTCACCTCGCTGGCGTGGTCCGGCGACAGCAACGTGCTGTGCTCAGACGCTCAGCCGCTGGTTACGGCAACCTCGTTTCGCCGCCTGTCGAGGTTGTTGCAGGCACAGAGTGGCAGTTTGGCGTCCAGCTCTTCCGCACCTACGGCCGGGTGGCATCCGCTACTACCAACGATTTTGCTGTCCGGCTGGCGCCTTTGCCGGCGCCGGCACTACCGCTGACGCTGGCAGCGGTCGGCAACGCAAGCTACGAGCTTGGCGTCTCGCTGCCGACCGCCGCTGGTAGCTACGCCGTGTCCATCGAGGTCAACGGAGGAGCCATCCGTCCGTTGCCCATCAGCGTCGCCGTTGTGCCCGGACCGGCGTCTGCAGGCGCATCGATTGTCACCGGACCAGGCCTCGAGACTGCGACGCTCAATTTGGACAATGCTGTTGTCATCACAGTCCGCGACGAGTTTGGCAACGCGGTGCGCGACCTGGATGCGGCAAGCCTGACCGTCTCGGCCAAGCTCGGCAACGAGGTGCGGGAGCTCGATCTCAGCGTTCGAAGCGCGGCGGTCGGGGTGGTGGACACCAGCTTCCGGCCGTGGGACGCCGGCGTGTACACGTTGTCAGTGTCGGTGGGCGGAGGAGCAGTTCCAGGCTCGCCGTGGGTGGTGACAGTCGCGTCACAGTGCGGCTTGGGGCAATACGCGGTTGAGGCGACCGGGCCGTGCGAGATTTGCCCTGCCAACACGTACTCTGACGCCATCAACGTGCCCGAGTGCACCGGGTGCCCCGCGTTCACGTCGACGCATGGAAAGCGCGGCGCGCAAAGTGTCGAGGCGTGCACTTGCGTCGCCAACTACTATGCAGCTCCTGTTGCCGGCGAAGCAGAGCCATCGTTCACCTGCAAGTCATGCCCAGAAGGCGGAGTGTGTTCTGGCGAGCTTGAGCCGCCGGGATCGCTGCCGGGCTACGCACCAGCCGACGACGGGACAGTGGCGTTTGTGGCATGCCGGCGGACAACGGCGTGCACCGGCAACAACACGTGCGCGACTGGCTACACCGGATACATGTGCAACATCTGCCGCGACAAGTTCTACTCCACGTCGACAGGCGAGTGCAAGGCGTGTCCCCAGGCTGCCAACGGCATTCTCGCCGGTGCGTTGCTTGTGGTGCTGGGCCTCTGTGCAGCGACAGCATGCCTCATCCTGGTAGGCATGGTGCGGATCGGGTCTGTGCATGTGCCCAAGGCGGAAGCCGGCGGCGGGAATGCAGAGATGATGGCGGTGATGCGGACGCGGACGCTGCCTGCAAGCGTGAGCATGGTACTTGTGGCGTTCCAGTCTGTGGGCGTGCTTGCCGACGGCAACTTTGCGTGGTCTAAGGCGTCAAAGCAGGTCCTGGACTCGTTCAACGTGTTCAACGTGGACGTCACCCTCTTTGCGTCCGAGTGCTCACTCTCGTCGTTCTACGCCAAGTACGTGTTTGCGGTCGGGCTGCCCGTCCTCGTCCTAGTGGCGACGATTGTCTCGCTGATGTTGCTCAAGCTGCTGGCCGGCGCAGGGTTGATGCGGTACGGCGCGGAGCTGCTCCGGGCCACTTCACTGATGGGCCTAGTCGATGCGGTCGTTTTCTCAGTCGCGCCGCTGTTCTACATCCCCATGGCGCGGGCGACGTTCCAGCTGTTTGATTGCTCGAGGCTGCCTAATGGGCACTGGATCTTGGATGCAAACCCGGGTGTCACCTGCTTCAACTCGCAGTGGTGGACGTACTGCTGGGTGGGTATTGCCGCGGTAGCCGGCTACGTTCTGGGCATTCCGGGCTACTTTCTGCTCCATCTGGTGCGCAACCGGAGAACGCTGACCTCGCCAGTGACTTATGTCCGGTACGGCGCGCTGTACCGGCTGTTCCGGCTCCGGTTCTACTGGGCGGGGGTGGCGGATCTCGGCAAGCGACTTGGTCTCATTGTGGCTGCGGTGTTCTTCTCCAACCACCAGCTCGTGCAGATCGGCGGCATTCTGCTCGTCCTCCTCACCTCGTCGTACGCTATTGTGCGGTACCAGCCGTTCTACTACTTGCTGTACAACAAGCTCGAGCTGCGGCTTTCGGCCATGCTTGTGGTGGTCCTGGCGCTCGGCACCGGCTCGTACTCGGAGCGGCGCAACGCCGAGTCGACATCGGACTTTTTTTACGTCGCCATCATTGTCGCTATGGTCGCACTCTGCCTCATCTCGGTCCATGGCATTGTGACCGACATCCTGCAGATTGTGGCGGCCCGGTCGGAAGGATCTGCCGGTCAGTGCGAGCGCAAGCGCGCCATCGCCGAAGCACTCGCCGACGAGCTCCCGGACATGGACCCGGAGATGGCTGCTGTGGCCGAAGTCATGCTTGCTCGGCTCGCCCAAGCCGACCACAGCCCGGTCTACGGCCTCGAGCTTGCCGAGTTTGGCAGCGCCCACGAAGGCGATCTGGTGACCCTCGACCGGCTTGAGGGCCGCAACGCGCTGGCGTTTTCCTCGGTAGGCCCTCCTGCATCGCCACTGACGTCTTCATCCTCTTCTTCTACATAACATACCAATCATAAAGTCTTGGCTGTCTGCCTGCCGCAGTGACTGCGCTCGCGCTCGGCTTCAGAGGCGGTTGGGTCAGGGGGGGAGGGGGAGAGGGAACAGCGGGAGGGGAACAGCGGCGAAAAAAGGTCGTGATTCGGCGACGCCTGCCACCACTCGACGCCAGCGGCCGACTGTGGGCTGAGCAAAGAGTAGCTAGAAGGGAAGCAAGAAAGGATTGAGCCCGTGAAAGACGCCTCTTAGCACCTCCATATCCCAAGGACTATCTGCACACCATGCCTCGTCTTCTCCGTCGACGTGTACCGGCATTGTCGTCCATGGGCGTGACCAAGTTGCCTCAACTGGCGATGGCCATAGATTCTAACCGAGCCGCCCGCCACCGACGCGCCGCCGCCTCCTTGTCATCCTCTGCCTCTGCCTCTGCCTCTGCCTCTGCCTCTGCCTCTGCCTCTGCCTCTGCCACGTCCAGCTCTGCTTATTCTGCCTCTGCCTCTGCCTCTGCCTCTGCCTGTGTCTCCACCCGCAGTCACAGCCGCCATGGATATGCCCCTGGCTCGGTCTCCCGCCACGACGACCATGGCGGGGACGATGCCACCTTTGTGCATGCTCCTCCGCCTGTGGACGAGCACGTGTCGTCCTCTCGCCGCTCGAGCAAGGGTGATGGTTGCCGTGGTGGGAGCAGTGCTGGGGTTGAGGGTAAGGGCTTGGCATCGGTGGGAGTCAAGGCCAAGACGGGCCGGAAGCACAAGGTCAAGGCCAAGAGCTCGGGGAAGGCCAAGAGCTCGGGGAAGACCAAGAGCTCGAGGAATGGGAAGGCCAAGGGCAAGGGCACGAAGAAGAAGATGTACGACTCGTTCTTTGTAGATGGGCGCGAGATTGCAGTCGGCGAGCATGTGGCGTTTGAGATCGAGGACAAGGCGTACTCTGTGGGGAGAGTGCTCAAGGTGTGGCGGCTGCGCGGGCGGGCGCGGCGGAAGGGCGTGCAAACGCTGGCGTCGGGGCGGAGGCGGACGACGGCGCCGGGCGTGGGTGGCCTCGGCCCGGATCATATCACACTCGAACTGCTGCTGCGGCCGGCCGAGGTTGCCCCGCAGTGCGGCTTGTCCCCAGACTTTGTCTCCAAGCACCCACATGAGGTGGTAGCGACGTCAATGCGCAAGTCGGTGCCCATCGAAGCACTGGCGAGCTCGATGACCAAGGTTACGGTCTCGTTTGTCCCGCCGGGCGCGCCGCTCCCTGAAGGCCTCTCACCGCGTTCGCTCTTCTACTCGCAGTTCTTTGCCCACGAATCCGGCGCGCTGCGGCCTTACCACCTTGTCATGCCAGACGCGGCGCCGCTGGAGGCGCTCGGGGATACAGAGGCGTTGGAGCCATTGGAAGCGGGCTCCGACTCTGGAGCTGGCTCGTCGAGCTCGTCGCCGCGCCCGCTTCCAGTCAAGGCGTCGCCGCGAATGGTCAAAACTGCAGCCACAGCGTCGCCGTCGACGCCGACAAATGTGATGGAGCGGGCGTCGCCGTCGATCACGCCGCCGTCACCGCCCGAGTCGTCGTTGCACCCGCCGCGGGCGCGTGAGCGGCGGCATGTGCGGCGGGCGATTGTGTTCAGCCCGACTGCTGCGCTAGAGCAGCAGCAGCCGCAGCCGGAGCAGCCTGGGCCTGTGACTGCCACTTCTCCGCTGCTCCCGCGCCCACGGGCACTGCCGACGCCGCGGTCGGCGCTCAAGCGGCGACGCGAGCTGGTGGTGCGGCGGGCGGACGAGAGACTCGGCTCTCGCCCGCTGTCGCGGCGGGGATCAGGGTCGGTGTCCAAGCGCGCTGCACGCATCATGGCAGCGGCACTGGCAGTGTCAGGCAAGCTGCCGCTCGAGCCGGCTGCTCAGGCTGGACCTGCGGCAAAGAAGGCGAAAACCCTTGCGGGCAATGCAGTGCCCGCCGCTGCCGCTGAAGCAGCCCCTGAGACCGCCGCGCCAGCGCCGGCCCCCGCTGCGCCGGCCCCCGCGCCTGCGCCTGTCACTGCCGAGCCGGCACTGGTGCTCGAGATCGAGACCGCCGAACCCGCTACTTTGACCCTGTCGCAGCCGATGGAGCTCGGCGATGCGAACGCCGCGGCAATGCCAAAGCCCGAGGCCAGGCCTGAGTCCAACACGGCGGGCCTGCACAAGTCGCGCAAGCCCTCAGAGCAAGAGGCATCGCCCACCAGCAAGCTCCTTCTTCAGCTCTCAGCCGAGTCGCAAGCTGGTGCTGCTGACGGCAAGGATGAGTGCACCATCATGTAAATGTGCGATGAAGATGCCGACCCGGCAGGCAGCTGCAAATGCCTCGGCACGTGCACCCCGACATGTCATTGCCACTCTGTCCTCCATTTCTTTCCCTCTACCTGGGGGGGGGGGGGAGGGAAGAAGGGAGAGAGCACACCATGTTTATATACGACTGCAAGTGGAAGGTAAGACTATCGCTGTTGTTCTTAGGTGAGAGTATGGCTTGTAGCTGGCCCTCTGAGGGGTGAAACAGCCCACCACTAGTGGTGCAGAGATTGTGCACAAAAACACAACAAAAAAAAGCGTTGCGCAACGGATCGCACCGTTGCGTAACAGGCACGGGGTGGAGGCGGGAGAGGGAAGGGGGGAAGGAGAAGGCGATAGACCTGACTTTGTAGATTAGTTCCGCAAAAACAAGCAACATGGGAAGAGGACGTGGACCGATGTCATACATGAGGAAGAAGGCCGGGGAGGCCATGCGTGGCGAGATGAAGATCGGCTCGTCATCATCGTCATCGTCGGACGGCAAGGGCATGTTCAACCGCAACAAGGACGAGGAGAAGAACGATTCCGGTGGCGGGAAGAAGGACGGTGACGACAACCGCATGTACTGCTTTGAGTGCCTCATCTGCATCGCCTTTATCCTCATCATCATCGGTCTCATTCTCGGCTTTGCTGCTCAGCTCTGGCTCGTGGGCGACGTCAAGGCTGCCTCGCCGGCCACAGGGACCATCACCTACCAGATCGGCATCTCCAAGGTGACGTACAAGCTCTCACCGGAACTGGTCTCGTCGGGCCAGCCAAGCACGGAGACGATCTCGCTGTCTTCGGACAAGTGCAGCACCAATGCTTGCAAGGGCTGGAATTCGGCCGGCAAGGTCGCCCGCGTCCTGCTCATCATGTTCCTCCTCTGCCTCGTTCCTGCCCTCATCCTCGCCTGCCTCTTCTGCGCCGGCGAGTCTGTCTTTGAGTCGATCGGCGACTGCCTGCCGTGCGGCGTGCCTGGCTGCGACGTCCCGGACGTCTTCCCCTGCGCCACCACTGCTGCTGCCGCAGGCCCGCGGTACCTCTCGCTCTTCCCCTCGCTCTGCTGCGACTTCATGATGTTCCTCCTCGCCGCCCTGGCCGCCATCGTGTACAAGACGCAGACAAACGACGATCTGGAGACCTTTGACGGCGCAGACAAGCTCAAGCTTGGCATCTCCTTCTACTTTGTCGTTGTCATGGCTATTGCCTCGTGCTGCCTTGGCTGCGTCCACAGCGTCCTTGTTGTCGTCTACCCAGCCATCGCCATGGCCGAGGCTGCCGACGAGGCCGGTGACTCTGCCTCTGGCATCATGGGCAAGATCGATGTTCCGGGCATCTAGACTACCTCCGCAATACTGAACAAACAGCACAACCATCCGATGCGGGGATGATGCGGACATCATACCCATCCCCCCCCATCCCCCCCCCCCATCCCATCCCCTCCCCGCAACCAACCAACAACGACTGACTGACTGAAAGTCATCGAACGTGTCACCGATCCTCCCTCTCCCCCTCCCCTCCCTCCCCCCTTCCGCCCCCCCCCACCACCACCCCACTACCCACACCGAGTGAGAGACCATGACAAACAGAGTAGCACGAGTGGCCATACTCGGGATGATCCTCGCCATGGTGGGCATGGCGGCCTGTGGCGGGCCGTTGCTCCCGCTGCTCGACGAGACCAAGTTCCGTGTCGGCCTCCATGCCCCTGGCGCAGACCTGCTGCTGACCTCAGTCGATGGCCCGCGGGTGGTGGCCATGACCGGTGCAGACGGCCGGAAGTACCTCTGCGCTGTACCGCGGGGCGATCAGAGCCACGACCAGAGCCAGGACGACGTGTCTCCGCTCGACCCGCACGCCACAGGCTCAAGCTCGACGGCGGCGGCAAGCACAAGCTCGACGACGTCCGCAGGCAGCAGTGGCGGGAGTAATGGATCTGGCGAGCGCGGGGTGGGGCAGTCGGGCAAGGCATCCGAGGCGGAACTGCTGGCACCGCTACTCGGCGAATGCTTGTATCGGGTCGATGGATGGTGGACGTATGAGGTCTGCTACGGCTCACACGTCCGCCAGTATCATCGCGATCCAAAGACAGAGGCTGTCACTGCAGAGTTCTTTCTCGGTCGCGCCCCGCGGAGTGACCGTGCTGATGCTGCGGCCAAGTCACCTGCTGCTGGCAAGGTGGAGGCCGATCCAGCCTCGGCCGCTATGCCTCCCGCAAGGTACGTCGAAAAGTATGACGCTGGCACTCCGTGCGATCTCACCGGCGAGCCGCGTGTCACCTCGCTCAGCTTCGAGTGCTCGCTCACAGGGCTCAACGCCATTTCCACCATCTCCGAGCCAGCAACGTGCACCTATGCGGTGACACTCTCCACCCCGCTGCTCTGCGACCTCGACGAGTATGCCGCCCGCGACGAGCCCGAGCTCGACATCTTGTGTGTACCGAAGACCGAGCCGCTCACGCTGGCCTCGCTCTTTGCCGCCTCCAACTCGGCCGACAGCTCGTGGCACAGCCTTCTCGTCCGCGCACTTGACAAGATCACAGCCGGCTCTGATGCTCCCCAGAGCCAAGACGCAGCTTCGGCGGCTCCCACATCGCCCCAGGAAGACCCGGCGGCCGCCTCGAGCGACGTCGACGTTGTCCACGTCGAAGACCTGCTCGCCTCGCTCGTTCGTGGTGACAGCATGCCCGGCAGCTTCCAAGCCGAAGCCTTACTGGAACAACTGCTGGCGCTGACACTTCAGGACGGCGACGATGAGGCGACCGAGGCCGAACATGTTGACGACGACGAGCCGGCGTAGTGGCCGCAAGGGGAAATGTGTGATGCATTTACAGACGACAGCTTCGACCGCCTACTCGTCGTCGTCGTCGGCCTCGTCGTCCTCCTCGTCGTCGTCGGAATCCTCGTCGTCCGAGTCCGAGTCGGACGGTTCCGGCGCGATGCGGTCCGAGACAACCTCGCCCAGCAAGTTGCGGTGCTTGAGGTTACCCATCCAAAACGCAGACATGAGGTTGTTGGCCGAGAGCATGCCCTTGACCTTGAAGATGAGCGTCTCAAGCTCCTTGCGGAGCCTGGGCACGAACCGCCCAAGCTTGTGCGAGTCCATGATCTTGGACTCGGCGCAGATGGCCTGCAGAATTCGGGTCGATGTTTGCATGCACTTGACGACCGTCTGGATCTCGCCGACATATATCCGGAAGCACGGCGCGAGCGCCGTGATGTGCTTGGACATCTTGGCTGCAAACGTCGTCCCGTGCTTGAGAATTGGCAACAGGTACGGCCGCGAGGTAAAAACCTTGGTCGCCTTGGCCAGGACAGAGAACGCACGCACAAGGATCTCCACCCGCTGCAGCCGCTCCGGGATCGACTCGGCCGACTCGCGCGCCGCCAGCGGCTCTACCCCGAGGTTCGCCACAAGCTCCGTGAGCACGACTCGGAAGAAGACCGGGAGCGAGGTCTTGGTCAGCGCTGGCATGACCTCGCCATCGTCGCCGCTTGTGCTCACAAAGCCGCCGATGTGGGTCGTCACCACCTCGTGGATGATTGTCACTGGTGTTGACGACTCACGAATGTACGCCGTGAGGAGCGAGGCAATTAGCTCCGAGCGGAGTGCAGGCTCCCCATCCCATTGCCGCGCCAGAAACGCGCCTGCAAGCGTCGAGACTCGCGCAAGGAGCTCCGAGCCCGGCTCGAGCGTCGCCAGCGCCGTGAGAAGCGCGATGAGTGGCGAGCAGAGCGAGTGCGAAGCCGGCGCGGCGCCGATGTTAGAAAAGTAGTCAAAGGCGGCGCCAACAAGTGCTGAGAGCCGCGCTGCCTCAGGTTCCGCCACCGTGCCCTCGCCGCTCGCTACCGGCGAGTCGAGCCCAAGCCCGACCGCCGCGTGTGGCGCAATCCGCGTCGCTGGCACCGCAAGCAGCGTCGCCAGCGATGCCCGCGCGCCCTGCTCCACAAGCGCGTGGTAGAGGAAAAGCGACTCAAAGATGTTGAGGAGGAGGACCAGGAGGTGAGCGGCCATCGCCCTCGCCTGCGCCGCACCGGCGTCAGACTCCAGATGCGGTGCGAGGCTTGCAAGGCTCTCGGGATCGAGAGCGAGGAACGAGTTGAGCCGCTCGAGGTGCTCGCAGAGGGCGGGGATGAGCGCCACCGTGGCACCAAAGAACGCATCGCGACCCATGGCATCGACGTTGGCAAAGGCGTGCGCGGTCTCCCACGAAGGCGCTGCCGAGCCAAAGCCCGGCGGAAGCGCAGGCCCGACCCTGCCCGACGCCGACCGCGCTGGGAGCATGTGCTTGATCTTGGCAAGGAGGTCCGAGAGGAGGACATGGAGGAGATGCGGCTGCGAGGCGAGGCTCACGCCCATCCCTGCCGCACGGTCAGCGTCGAGCGCCGCAAGCGGGAAGACCACAAAGGCCGAGAACGAGAGGAGCGAAAAGACCGACATGTCGAGCTCGCGGAGGAAGAGCGAGAGACTGGCAAAGCCCGATGATGCAAGCCAGAGCGGCGGGAGGGCGACTGTCATGCTGCCTGCGGCTGCAGCCGACGCCGAAGCCTTGCTCTTGCCCTTGGACGCCTTGCCCTTGCCGCTCCCGGACTTGCCGCTGGTCACCGAGCTCGATCCTGCGCCCGACTCGTCCTCGAGCTCCATGACACGCCCGATGACCGGAAAGGTGACCGGGTGGAGTGGGAGCAGCGGGAGCAGCGACGAAGTGAGCTCAAGCATGTTAGCGAGACGGGCGGCGACCTTGGCCTTGGTTCCTGCCGACGGCGCCGACGCCGGCGGCGCAAACGCGTTGAGCAGCTCGCGGCACCAGTTGATGCCCTGGAAGAGAGTGAGGAGGATGGCATCTTTGGCCGCAATCGAGAGCTGGTCAAAGGCGTCGAGCGCCGAGGTGTCAAAGAGAACAAGCGGGCATCCGAGGATGGCGTCAATCTCCTCCATCGAGCCGGCCTGCAGCGAGCGCTCGCAGACGTGAAGAAGGCGGAACTCGGAGCAGAGGCCGACCAGAACTTCGCGGGCAGCAGGATCCGGAGCAAGCTGGTGGTTGAGAACGGCGATGGCGACCTCGGCCGTCGACTCGCCGGTCGCCGCGTTGACGTCGAGGTTGAGCCGCCGCGCCGGAACAAGACCAAGGCTCGGCTTGGGCATGGCCTCGGCCGTGTTGTCAATCACAAACTTGGTCTCAAACACCACCGACGAGAGCTCCGAGGAGATGTAAAAGACAAGGTCGCGCGGGAGCCGCCCCCGGACCAGCAGAGCGCTCATCTCGTCGCACATAAACGCATACGCCGACGGGAACGACGCTGTGTGCGCCTTGAGCATGGAAAGAATGAGGACAATCTCGCGCCGGACGCCCGAGAAGGCTTCGGTATGGAGCGAGGCCTCGTCGAGCCGCGGCGGGCCAGGCTCGGTCGCCGTGTACGGCGCCAGCGCCGCAATGAGCGCAACCGCTCCGAGAATGCCGATCCGCTTAAACTTGGCGGCCGGGTTGGAGACGTGCTTGCGGATGATGATCAAGAGCTCGTCACGGAGCGCAGATTCCCACGGGACCGTGCCTGGGCCGGCCGATGGCGTCCGCCCCGACGCCACCGACGACGCCGACGACGAGACCGACGACGGGGCGCCTGCATTGGCACCACTTGCGCTCCGAGCCAGAGGCGCGCCTGCGCCGATGGGCGCGCCAACCGCCAGCAGGGTAAAGAGCTGGAAGAGGAGGCGAACATGGACATTTGGCTGGGTGAAGAGGTAGTCGAGCATGCCCTTGAAAAACGGCACAAACGAGCGCATGGAGCGGCCGGTCGTCGGCGCTGCCGCCAGATCGATAAGCACGTTGAGCGCGGCGGTGACTTCCGACGACGACGTCGAGCCGATGTGGGTCATGATCGACGCCAAGATGTCTTGCCGGGCAAGCGGCGATTCAAACTCGGTGAAGAGGAGTTTGTACCAAGCAGCGCCAAACGAGGCCACGATGGGCGCCGGCGAGCGGAGGAGCTCTTCGGCGAGCGAGCGCATGACCGGGACGTACTCCTTCAGCGCCGGGCTGTGGCCCACAATGGCCGCCGAGAGCAGCGGCTGAGTGAAGAAGCACGCGGCGACCTTTTTGCGAAGGAGCGACTTGACGGCCTTGCGTCGCGAGTCGAGCGAAGCAATGACAAACAGAATCCAGAGGTCAATGCCGCGGTGCATGTGGGCGAGCGGAGTGGCGGTGATGTCCTTGAGAAAGCCGCGCGCAATGGCCGGGCGGAACCGGATGCCGGCCTTGAGCGCCTCAAGCGTCAGCGCCTCACCCACCGCCGTCTCCGAGGCTGCCGCGCTGGCACCAGGCGCAGCCTCGGAGACAAAGTCGAGGTTGGCCCGCAGCTCGCGGATGACAACACCGAGTGCAGCCGCTGACGACGCCGAGGTCTGCAGGAGGAACTTGACCATGATTGGCGCCTCATCGATGGGCACCGACGCCAGGCGCGAGAGGACAGCCGCGCGGATGACCACCAGCAAGTCGCCCTCCAGATGCAGGTTGGCAAGCGTGTCGAGAATGGGGACGGCAAGGAACGGCTTCTCCTCCATGAGCGCCTGCAGCGCCTTGACCACGGTGGCGTGGGCGGCGTCGTCGACAATCTCCGGGAGAAACAGGATGAGCTCGCGCTGAAGCTCGTTGCTCACAGCGTCGAGCAGCTCGAGGAGCTTGGTGGCAATGGCCGCGCCATCGACAACGGTGTCAAGCCAGCGAAAAGCGGCAAGAATGAGCTTGGGCACCTCGGGCGAGTCGTCAGCATGCTCGGGAATGGCCTCGAGCAGAGCGAGGGCCAGCTGAGTCTGGACCGGCTCGACGCCGAGGCAGAGCCGAAGAAGCGGCTCGGCCGAGGCCGCAGGCGTGCCGGCGAGGCCGGCGCTCCCGGGCGTGGTCTTGACTTGGACCATGGGCCGCAGAGCCTTGACCAGGAACTCGGGGCCCTCGTCGAGGTACTCGAGGAGCGAGTTGACAAAGGCCTCGCGGGCGGTATCGTCAAAGTACAGCTTGGTCTTGAGCGCCTGGCGGACTGCAGCCGGAGGTGCGGTCAGGCCATGGCTTGCTGGCGTGGCGTCGAGCCGGACGCCTGCGGCAGCAAGGACCGTCCCAAAAAAGGTCGCAGTTTCGGAGCCGTCGCCACCCGCCACCTCGTCCATGCCCACCAAGCCCTGCGTCTCGCCATCGTCCAGCGACGCCTCTGGTGACGACGTAAGCTTCTTGGCCCGCTTGGGACTCTTTCTGGGGCTAACCCTTGTCGGGGCCTTGCGCCGCTTGCCTGCCATGGGTGGGGGGGGGAAGGGAGAGGTGTGACGGTGGTCGGCCGTCAGTCGGTCGTCAGCGGCTGGCTGGACGCTGCCAACAGTGTCCAGCTATCGAAGGACGACGGTGTTCAATGATGATCATCCAGGAAGCGCAGGCAGTCCAGAGACGTGAGCTGGAAGGGGGGGGGGAGGGAGGAAGGGCTACGATGACGACCAGCCTGACTCGGAGCCATCGTCCGAGCCGCCCGCAAAGGGATCCAGTGGCGGGGCGCCTGGCGGAGGAGGCGGCGGCGGGAGGGAGGTGGCGACAAAGGCCCCGTCGGACGACGACGAGTCCGAGTCCGAGTCCGATGCAGCCGGCGGGGCGGGGCAAGCGGAGGAGGCGCGGAGGAGAGCACGCCGGGGACTGGAGTGATCTCGTTGCCGAGAGCGCCTTCCACATCCGGATCGGGCGCGTTGGGTGTGGTGATGAGGTCCGGATTGAGGCCGGCAATCATCATCTGATTGCGGATGTTGCGCTCGTCCACACCCATCCGCATCTGGAGGAAGAACTTCTTGTACTTTGGGTTGTCCTTGACGAGCCGTACTGTGCAAGCGAGCGACCGTGAGCGTGAGTGCGGGGAATGAAGAAAGGAAGAGCGTGGGGAGAGAGGGAGGGAGGGGATCGATCGGAACAGTCCGTACCAGCAGCGACAGGAGCAGCGGCGGCAGCAGGCGCAGCAGGCGCCGGAGACTCTTCGGCCGTCGAGTCACGGACACCGTTTGGCCTGTGTGCAGCAGGCGATGCATCGTCCGACTCTGAGTCCGAGTCTGCAATGGGTATGTTGTACTGATCAAGGCCTGGAACTGACTCGAGCTTGGCCTCGAGAATGGCCATGGTGGCCTCGAGACGGGAGAGCTGAATGGCCACCTTGCCGAGCTTCTCCTCGCACACGCCCGAGAAGCGATTGAGGAACTGAACAGAGGAGAGCACAAAGCCATTCACAAACTGCAACAGGCTCGAGCTGGCAATTGGCCCCACATTGTCAAAGTTGATCCTCTGCAGTGACTTGCCGCCCTGCATACCCGCGTCTTTTCGGCGGGGGGGGGGGGGGGGGGGGGGGGGGGGAGATAAGGCAGGTGGAGGGTGGGGGGGGTAGGGGAATGAAGGGGTGAGGGGGGGGTGAG